CCTTCTGTTTGGTATTTTTGCCTAAGACATGCGGTGTTATCGTTTAGTACTTTTTCATAAATCACAAGTACACTACTTAGTTTAAGTGGAAAACATACCCTACCATGCACTTTGTAGGCTACCACAAAACCTTAATAAAGAGGATTCCTAAGAGCCATGCGATTGCAGTTACAGCTGTAACGGGAGATAGGATGGTCTGTTCACAGGATTTCATAAGGCGAAACAGATTTTAATTCTTACACTGGTTACTGAATCTGACAGACACACACACAGACAGACTGTAGCTCCCCCTCCTTACATCCTGCCCACTTAGCTACCCTGAATCTTAATTGTATTAGACTGAGGCTCAACATTTCTGAAAGGAATTTTCTTCAGAGAAAAAAAACAGACATTGATGGCACTTGAGGGCCAGATTCAGACCAGAATGCAGCAGCACGAAGAACAGGCTCTTGGCTTTAACACAATGATTCCTGTTATCTTGTTTGGAATTAAGTTTTTCTCATTTGTCTTTTTTCATAAGTATCTCCTGTTCCTGAGCTACAAATCTCTTGTTTATTGTCCCTCCATCCCTCTGGACACAGCAGTCCCTCCTGCATGCAGTCAACCACTAGGAAAGATGTGTCCCAGAGCACTGGCATTTAGATAACCAGGGAACTCTGCAGAGGCAAAAGGTGGCACCACTTGATGGAAACATTTCCAAAAATAGGTAGACTAAAGAAGGTAAATTGAGATCAAGGTTAGGACAAAATCACTGAGATTTTCTTTCAGCCCATGATTAGGCTTGCTTAGTTTTCAATGGTGGAGTATTGTCAATACCAACTTGATGTTTGGAAATGCATTCATCACATACAATTCTATGTCATTTAATCAACCTAACAATCTTCTTAACTAGTGGGAAATTTTGCTTCAGCTATTTACTTGAGTTGCCAATTGCATCCTCTCACTTGGCGTTTTATCCCTTTCCTGACTGGCTGAAACATCTAATACCTGGAAAAAAAGATTTAGCAAAAATTAGCTTTTATGATGAACTGTCATATATAATCCTGGATGTTACAATCTGTAATTTACACTTAGTTTCATTGCAGATTACCCAATATTCCGAGGTAACTAAGAATTCAGCTCTGAAGGTTTGGCTCATTTTAATGGTCAAGTCTGATTATCTTGAAGGCAAGATGAATGAGAATAAGCTTCAGATATGACAGCAGCCCATATTATCCTTGCAAAGCATTCTTTTAAACACAGAAATATTCAAAAGACTTTTCACCTGTGCCACAAACACCAGGATGCACACGCCCACTCATCTGTCTACATGGAATCCCAAGCTTATGGATGAGCTAGCAATGAATATGTACGACCCTGCACTCTGACTTTTCAGGATTCTTGTACGCTGGCACATGCAATCATTTCACATTGGCTGGCGTGGATAAAACTCAGCTCATTATTCTCCAGTCCATATAAAACTGCACTTGTTTTCATTAGTTTGCACTAGCTGCTGTCTTTCTTTTTTAGTACTATGCCAGGTGACTATACTACTTGCTTTCCTTTGTGTTATGAGGCTGAATCAAAGGAATTAACATAACATACTTCAGTATCAAACAAGAAAGGGAAGAACTTAGTTTCTTCAACAGCTGATGTTCTCTGCAGCTTTTAGAAGGAACATTTAAAACCAGGGTTTGCCAAAGCCTTTTTGGTCTCACTCCATGGTATAATCTCATACACCATTGTCTGCAAGGTTGACTGGGTGGTAATGTTATTAAAAAGTTCAAGCTAAAGCAGTGGAGAAAGGGGAAGAGAGCAGAGAGCACTGATTCTGTGATTCTGTGAGTGCTGAAACAGGGCTAACCCAAACAGCTGGAGTTACAACCAGGGGCAAGCCCAAACACTCTTGGAGACAGGGAAAAGGGCAAGAGGGATTGTGGCAGACCTCCAGATTCCCTCATCACAGCTGGATAGGGATGGGGATGTCTCTGCCCCAGCACAACACCAGCACCACTGGACCATCCCATGCTTGCTGTGAGTACACCAGGGAGTCAACATTCCCCTGCCTCTTCACCAGTTTTTGAGACCACCAGATGGACAGAAGTGGTGGGTGCTGTGCTGGGCACTTTAGATCTTGCCCCCCATGTCCCGCTGGCCCCCGGGTAAATCTGCCTCTGTTCCACAAAGAGGGGAAGTTCTCGTGTTTGTTTGAGGTTTAACCACATAGTCTGGCTGGAGATGTGGTTTTGGTATGAATGTCTATTTGCAGAGGACTTCCTTAATTATTTTGGGCTAAATGACTAATTTATAAAGCAGGTTTGTGTGTGAAGCCACTCAGCTTGTTACCCCATCACCTAATCAGCTTCCTCTCCTGCCTTTGGCTCTTTACATCAGAGGACAGTCTCTTTCCAAAGGAAAAACCTAACTCATCATCCTAAACAATCATTGTGAGTAGTGTATCAAATACTGCCCAGCTCTCTTCCACTGAAGGGGAGGCCAGGCAAGGAGCCATCACAGCATCAGTAAAAGAAGCAGTGTCCTTTTTCTCTTTTCCATCTCCCTGATCATATAGGATTTACCTATCTGGGCAGAGTGCTGGCTGGGAGAGGGTATGCTCCTGCCCCCAGCTCTGCCCAGTAGTTTCCTAAAGCTCCAGTGGGGCAAGACCCTTTCTCAGGTGCCACAGAATCATTTAGATCGGAAAAGACCTCCAAGATTATTGAGCCCATCCTTTGACCAATCACCACCTTGTCAACTAAACCACAGCACTAACTGCCACATCCAGTCATTTATTGAACACTTCCAGGGATGATGACTCCAACATCTCTCTGGGCAGTTCATTCCAGTGCCTGAACACCCTTTCAGTGAAGAAATTCTTCCTGAACCTCCCCTGGTGCGGAGTGTCCTCCCTCTGCCCAGCTAAACCCATAACCAGATGAAGTATTTTCTGTAACTGGCCTTAGGCAAGCCCTTTTTTTTCACTCCAACAGTGAGAAGTCAAAAGCTACTGAAGGAGAGCTTAATAACCACTCTCCAAGATTGAAAACAGTCTAATTAGGGAAAAGCCTGAAGGTCAGCTTCACATGTGCTTTATCATGATGACTGCAGTCATCAAAATACATCCTGGCTTCAAACTCTTATCTCCATCTCAGTGGATGGTGTGCCATGACTTCCCCTATAGTAACTTGTCTTTCCTGAGCAAATCTTTCTGCATCTCTCTTGCATCCTAAGGGTAAATATCAGGACACTCAAGTTTCTTCCAGGTAGGTGCACAAACATTGCTGCACTACACAACAGAGGCCTGATGTTATTTGCAGTGTTTTCTAAAAGTGTCCCTTTCTCTATTTTTTTCCCCCACAGCTTAACTGAACTTCAAATTCCTGCAAACCTCTCCCAGTAAAGGGGATTCAGAGACGTTCAAAGAGGAGCTGGGTCCTGGGAAAGGGAGAACTGGGATCCTTCTTCACCCCTTGCACGACAAAACTCACATGGCTACAATTTTGGGGGTGGCTTTGCTCTGTGTGAGCATATCACAACAGTAATGTCGCCACAGCACAGTCCCCGGCCAGAGGATCTTCTCCTACAGTGGTCTCCACACTGTTTCCCAGCACAGTGCTGTCCTGGGCACCTTCTGTGGGGCACATCAGCTCCAAGTGCCCTGAAACGATCCACTTGACAAAATTGCGCTTCAGATATGTAGCACTCCCCTGAGAAATATTTTAACACAGTTAATTAGTAGTGCTCATTAGTAATAAATGCAAAACACAGAGATAAACTGTGGCATACATGGATAGGAGATATTTCATCTTCTGTATGTTTCCCTAAAGAAAGTACATATCAGTCATCTGTTCACCAGTGGGAGTAACACACTGTTCTCCCATGCAAGGAAGCTTTAATTATTTAATGCCTGGGAAATTAGAGAGATGGTCTTATTCATTCAGACATACTGCAGGCAGGTTTGATTTAGTAGGGAAGGGATATCTGATTATTCTGCTGAGAAACGAAAATAGATAACAGCAGAATTAATTAACTAACATATTAATTGAACAAGTGGCTCTAACATTAGTCTGAGATCTAAATTGAAGTGTATGTGGATGGGTGCTTGAACGAACATCAATTGTCAGGTTTAAGTCTTAAGTGAGATTGGTGGTTCTTTAGTCGTCATGATCTGGGGAAACTTCCTTTTCTTTGACTGATGGGGAAATAAGTCTCCTTCCCTTTGTATAAATCCAGTTCTCTGGGTCATGTCCTTATGTGAGGTGAATCAGCCTTTTTGTGCAGAGCACCCAGAGTGACCCCAGTCAAATCAGTGAAATTAACTTGTTAATACACGAGGAAAACAGTGAGCCAAAAGGCAATTCAAATAGGACCGGATGCACACTGTGAATAAGGACACCCACTCTACAAAGGTAATTCTGGCTTGAAAACTAAAGCACTCCCATGCTTCTCTCACAAATTGATTGCCTTAGACAAAAAAAAACAATCAAAAATTATTTGAATCAGGACCAGATTCAGCCCTTGCCCAGTTGACAGTTGCATGGAGTAACACAGATTTATGCAAGTAAAGGATTCAGGCCAGCTCCTTGAATTTTGAGAAGGGCTGTGCTTGGAAACTGTCCAGGTTATACCAAACACAGCTATTGCAAATGGAGACAGAGTGTAAGGAGCAAGACATTCATCTCAAGAACTTGGGAGCTAGCAAATATGCTGTTCTCTCATCTTTGGGGTACAAAAGTTGTATTTCTGTCCTATTCTTTGTGATAATTGAAAACAGCCAATTAAACCTTGTACTGAAACCATTGGTTGAATTTTTCCAGTAAATTCTTGAGATTACGGAGGTTTTCTTTACCTCCCTGCAGGAACTACCTCCCACACACCCTTATACAGTGCAGAGAAAACTTCGTGCCAGAGCTGTTCTTACAGATTACTTGAATTTAAAAGGCTCTAATGACACTTTTCCCCCCATTTTTTTTAATCCCCCCCTTTTTTTTAGAGCTTACCACAGGGAAACAGTAACAGGGCATATTTGGATCTCTGTGTTTTTTAGTGAAGAGCTTTCATGTTCTAAAGTAATTACAACGGGGTGAGTGTGTGTTTTTTACATATAGGGATAAGGCTTTCTTAATAGACAAATAAGAAAAGGATGCACAGCATAGAGAACTTAGTTCTCTATCAATATCTATCCCAGGCTATTTTAGTGATTGATCAGAGGCCTGAATATTTAAGGCCGGAGAACACACCTCATTCTGATGAAAATGAAACATGGATATTTTTAATCTGGTTTATACTGAGCTTATTTCAAAGAGTTGTTTGGGGTTTGTTTCAGGTTCCCTTGAGATTATGTAAGCACTTCAAGTTGCATCCAGATGTACTATACTGTCATGAAATCTTCATAGAGACAAATAATGGGTATTTCTGTTACATCTTCTGTGCAGGTCACAGGGAGGAATGAATGCCTGTTCAACACTGGAATAGACAACAGAATGCAAGAGATTTTTCCAGTTTACAATTGTCTGTATTTCTCAGAGGCTTTGATCTTCACATAATGTTTGTTTACTCCTGCAGGCACATATATGTCATATCATAATGGCTCCTATCTGTAAAGACATGTGTCTGTCACTGTCTGATTTTATACCTGATGAGTGACCACAAGAAGTACTGAGATAGGTGGATTGGCAGGACACGTGTGAGCAAACAGCTCAAAGATGAGGTGAGCTTCATGTGCCCTGCTTTTCAATTCTGTTTAGGAAACAGCACCCAGGCTGACCACGATATGACACGTGGTGAGACACTGTGGCTTGACTCCAAACATGATTTTCCTTGGTGTTTGTTACTAATATTGAGGGTTTTTTTCACTGCAGCTGCAGGCCCCAACCTCACCTGGACATCTCCTGGCAGATGGCCCCACCAGTCACACCACAGGGAAGACATCTGCATGCAAGGATGCCACCTTGCACGTACAGTAAATGTGCCAGGGGTAAGCAGAGCCCTTACTTTGCAAGGATCACAGTCAGAGGTTCCTTGCAAGGGCTGAATTCACCAGCAGTTCCTGAAAAGCAAGACTTGGTTACAGACTGTGCTTTGCCGAGAATTACGTATCATTATGTTGATTCATGTGGCAGCCCATGAGGTCCTGAGAGTCACCATTCCTCTCAGTAAGAGCGGGGGGAGGCTCACCTGAGTGCCCAGCTGCTGGTCTGCCGTGTCTTAGCAGGGGTCATTTCCCTTCCACCAGAGTCCTGAGTCCCTGAAGGAGGTGCCAGACCCACATGGCTGCCTGCAAGGCTCACAGCAGCATCTTTTAGATGAGAGAAAGGGAAAGGACAGCTAACACTCCCCCACATCAGCACAGCATGTCCCAGAAACCTCTAAAGGAGTTACTGTTAATTTTCCCTCCCACAGTCCCCCTGGATAGTGTGGGCACAAGAGTGTGGAAAAAGCTTTCAAAGCTGTGACTTGAGATTTCCCCGCAGGGGCTCACAGAGGAAAGTTAGGGACAACGGAGGGAAGTGCACAAGAAGAGACCCTTGCCTGCTCCTTGCAAATTGCTCTCCTCTGCAGTTAAGTATCCCTCTCACACTCCCCCAGAACAGGGAGGATATGACATTTTATTTAGTGTAAAGTCACCTGAAGACTTGCCAGCACCTTGCTCCTGCCCCACATGGCACATTGCTGCCTCTAGTTGTAGGGCTGTGCTGGGAATGCAGAGGTGAGGCATTTAAATGCAGAAAATAAACTTCCCAGGGAGAGGTGAGTGATGCTTTCCCTAATGATTTCAGAGTTGGCCTTGCCGTGCACCCCAGGAAGAGTTGCCACGGGAGCGGTGAAGAGACCACATAGGGAGTGAGAGGCTGGAATCGGGACAGTACCTGGGCACGGGGAGCGGGTGAGTGGGCAGTGGTGGAAGAGGGACCTCTTCTGGCAGCTTGTCCACTACTGAGAACCTGGACTCTATAAGGAAAGAAGTGTGCAGTATTTCGGTACGCAGCCCTTACTGATAGAGAAAGAAAGAAGAAGCATCTCTTTTGGGAAGGTCCCTCCCACTCACGTACATTTCATGTCCAGGCTGTGCCTGCAGTAAGCCCAGCGGGCAGGTAGGGATGTCTTCTGGCCAAGAAGGGAACGAGTTATCCTGGTGCAAGTGGCCTGTTTCATTGCTGCATGCTCCAAAGAGCTGCTTGCTGTTAACGCAGGAAAGACAGAGGCATTTCCTCACAGAAGGGGACACAAGAGGAGATTCCCTACAGGCTACAGTCTGCACTTTCATCCAGATAACAGTCATTTGAATAAAACTGATGAAGTGACGTGGTGTTGTCTGCCTTCTGACATTATCATGGAATCATAGAATGGTTTGGGTTGGAAAGGACCTTAAAGATCATCTAGTTCCAACCCACCTGCCATGGGCAGGGACACTTTTCTCTCTCCACCATTGCTTTGTCTTTTCCTTTATTTCCTTAATTTATTTGGGATTTTTAGCATTAGTCTTTAAAGCAGTTGCATTGAACTTAGCAAGCTGTGGTTTCTCTTTCGTTTAAAAGAAGTGTGGCAGAGAGGCACTTGTATCTACTGAAGTCCTCTGAAATGGAGAACAAAAAAGCCTGGCCAAAAGAGGAAAAAGTGTTGCAAAAGCCTCATAACAGCCCAAACTAAACTTTATTGGCAAACCCAAAACTTATTTTTCATCACGTTCTGCATCCCAGAGTGGTCCAGGGTCAGGGAATGCCCTGCAGGAAGGTGTCTGTGAACACTTGATTAATGGAGAAAATGGCACTGTGGCCAAATGACTGCAGCACCTCCTCAGACTGATCCCAAAGTCAGAGCATACCCAGCTGTACCTGGGTGAACCAAGACTCCTGCATATGCTGAATGGCACCTGCACGTGTTCAGCATCAGCAGGCCCCTGGCAACCCCACAAATGCACAGGGTCCCACCAGGTGCATCTGCCATAAATCCAACAAGGACAGGGACAAGCCAAGAGGAGGAGGTGCTTGGTGAGTTCTGGGAATTCACTATTTTCACACAAAAATGCAAATGGTGAAGCCAGTTGAAATGGGAGAAGCCTGGAGGTATTATATTCTGGCGTGAGGGATAGTCTTAAAATCTCCTTTCTCTCATTCCAGAAGTTTGTTTTTCTGTGACATGCATGTATACACATGCACACAGGCAGAACAGAGGTCCTTATGGGTAAAAAGAGCATCATGAATAGAACTGGTCAAAAATCCAAAGTGTGTCTCATACATGGGACTTATTTCTATCCTTTTCTTTCCTTTCCTTTTTTTTTTTTTACTGTTTTAATTAAGCAGCAGGAGTTATTAGTCAACGGATATTTGTGTGTACAAGCTCGGAATTCATCCTAAATCTATTTTGTACGCATGAATAAATGTTGTATATACCCCAACATTAATAGCAAGAGGCCTTTAACAACCTTTGAGAAAGATAAGCAAAATTAAAACTTAAGAGAAGACAAAGTATATGCAATTTTTAGGTCATTTCATTCAGCAGTATTTTATGTTGAAGGCAAAGAAAGTGTTGTGGAATCCTGATAAAATGCAAAGCTGCCATGTAAAATGCCACATTATCTGTACACCTCATGCCTCCAAAACCTTGCAATTTTTACAACGTGCTGAGTACAATTTAATTAAGAATCTTCATGCAGGGACTGTTGTCAAAGAATGTGCTTTTCTCTGCACGCAGTTGTTAACAGTAAAAAAAGAAAAAAAAGTATAATCCAACAGCAAGTGGAAAATCTGCAGCCAGATTCCTGCAAAGCCTCTGAGGCGCCAATTAAAAAAGATTAAATAAAACAGAATGCAATTTTGAGTTATTATTTCAGAAAGCACATCCGTGAATTATAAAAGTGCCGTTTCCCACCGGAAAGTTGCGGAAGCCGCGTGCCTAATGCAGGCACATTAACGCTCTGGTGCCTTCACCAGGGACTGCCAAGCATGAAATAATATTGTTCTGGAATAAAAAAAAACACATTAAGCAAAAACCACCAAAATTATTTAAAAGCAGAGTGAATTAAGCTGGAGGGTGCTGTGATGAGAAAGAGAAACGCCATGTTGCCCCGTAGCACAGGTACAGGGCTGGCTCTGCCTCCCAATCCCCAGTTCTGGCCATTTTTAACTTTGCTGGGTGTGTTTGAGCCTCCCAAGCTTGTTAACCACAAGGGTTTGAAAAATCAGCTTCTCACCTGTCCAAAAAAGGGCTTACACTCTGGAATTATTCAGCCATGTTGCTGAGAGAGAGAATCGGGAGCCAGAAAGACAGACAGGCAGACAAAAAGAAGAAAGGACAGAGGAACATTTTCTGGATGAGCAAAGTCAATCTTCCAACACTGGGATCTCAAGTAAGGAAGCAAATTCGAAATGAGAGCTTTCCAGTGCTTTTGGAGCAGAGAATTCTCTTCCACAAAACTGTAATTGCTGATTTTTATTAACTTGCCGTTGGCATTTAAGCACTTTCATCTAATCCTAGGACATCCCTGATAGAACTGACTTTAAATGTGTGACTTTTTAATTGTGTCTTAGCATTAATACTAATTATTATAAAAATACAAACAACAGTCTGTAAAACTGGTAAATACTACCTCCTCTAAACCCATTGCAGTGACAAATCTGTGCTTCCTTCAGCACCCATTTAAGAAAGGGCATATTAAGAATGGCAAAATTGTTATGACACTGAATTCAGAGGTGAATTTTGATACCTGATGGCACAGGGGACACTGCAGCGTTTCATCAGTTTGAATGTCTTTCAGATCTTGCTGATTCTACATTTAGATTTTGACATTCAGAATTATCCAATGGACCCAGAACGCTACATTACAAAATGCAGGAGAAATCTGTACAGTGAATGTGCTTTGCTCTGTGGTGGCAAATTTATGGTGCTGTATAAATGGTTGATAATTATTTTGTAAGCTACAGAAGCAAAACATACAATATTCATACTTTACAGCATACACAATTTAAAAAAAAAATCTAAAAACAGGTTGGTGTGAGGATATGCTTTTCTATGTTTGGGTTTATGGAAGCACCTCTTTATTTTACACATTACCTGCCTATATGGTGCTCTGGATGTCTCTGAGAAATTTTTATTTAATGCATAAGTGAAGAATCCTAAGTTATAAGCCAGAATACCTCACATCTAAAGTTTTAGAACCACCGTTAATTTAATATTGGATCTCAGAGAAAATAGCTCCTAAAAAAACCATGTGCAGATCCCTTAACATCTAGAGATGGCTTATAACCAATATGAATGTTGTACTGAACTTCAACTTGAGAGAGAAAAAAATTCATTTGTAGTCTTGGTATAAAGATAGAGCAATTGCAGACATCCCAAGAGACTTCAGACCAGACATTCAGCAGTTATGAAGTGATATGGTTTTATATGTGCAGTATGTTGTCCACCATGGAAATTTTCTAACACAAAGAATGACAGGATTCAACTCACTGTGATATGAATAATTCAGTACATGAATCTGAAGGAGCATCTGCTCTGAAGGAAAGGCAAATTAGGCTTATGTTACTTCTTGCTTTTCTTATGAGTAAGACTATTAGGTATGTAAATGTGTGAATTCAAGATCTTGTATCTGTTTGAATACTCACTTCTGTGCCAGAACAATAAGGAACCAGATTTTTGGCCTAAATCTATGCTGATCTGTTTTGATATTGTTCTATCTGGATATAGTAGAGACAAGTGTATAACTCACACATTTTGTTCAAAATAGGAGGAGGTGGGCCAAATTCTGGCTCCCTCCAAATGATCTGGCTGGTGCTGAGGCATATGAACATGGTACGTTGACTTTTCTATCCTGTATCTTGATGATTTGAATTCTTACTCATCCCATCCAATTATCCTGCCTCCCAGTCATAGGCAGTGACATGTTCAGAATATGTGAATCCAGCCAAAGAACTGCATAGAAAATATGTGGTTTGGCCTTTTTTCTTCTTGCACAGAACACGAGTGGGACACCTCTATGACAGTGCTGCAATGTGCAGGATCCAGTGAGACACGACAACTTGATGCTTAAATGGTAATTGAAAATGGATGAAAACATGAGGATAAAGGACCCTGATCATCAGTCTGACTTCAGGGGAGGTAGGTGGTGATAACATCATCTGACGATTCACTTCATGGGTTTTTAATAGAGCAGCCTATTACACAGCTACCTCTTATAAAGTACTTACCTCTCTCTGTTACAGTAATGTCTCTGCGCTTCTGAAGCGTTAAAAATACATCTACCCTCATAAACTGGTAAAGAATGTCCCTTGGATAAAGCTTGCTACAAGTCAGGTGCCATACAATGAAAGTTTTGGTAACTTCAGAAAATACAGACATTAAATGCCAACCACTCTAGAAACCAACAGATGCCAGTGGTCCTGCTCATCAGTAACAAGGAAGACATTGTTCCATTGCATGGCGTGTACATCAGTCATCGCAGCAGCTTCCAAATTACAGAAATGCTTCAGAAGAGAGAGCTGACATCTGTCTCAACGTTCCCTCATCCACGAGTCTCACACTGCATCCATCACGCTAATAAAGCAGTCCACGAGCTGGAAAAAATAACCCCGCAGAACAACACCAAATACATACTATCGATCTGTGTAGCTGAGATCTGGCAAAACCCCAAAAGTCTTGTTCTCCTCACAAATCCAAGAGAGCAGCCACAGGTTCAAAACGATTTCCAATACTAAGACACAGAGGCCATAAAATCTGAGACTCCTTCAAAAGTGGCTGAAACAAAGTTTTCACTCTGTAAGATTTATAACTTGGAAAACCATTACAAAAGTCCTTTCTCACCAATAAATTTCAGATTGACTTTTAACTTTCAGATTGACCCATAGGGAGAATCTACATAGTCTAAATGCTGTGTCTGATACAAACCAGTGTGTAGCTGTGGCAAACACCCATGGAAAAACACCCTGTGATAGATGAGATAGATGGGAAGGAAATCCACAGACTTCATAGAATCATAGAATGGTTTGGGTTGGAAGGGACCTTAAAGATCATCTTGTTCCAACCCCCCTGCCATGGGCAGGGACATCTTCCACTAGACTAGGTTGCTCAGAGCTCCATCCAACCTGGCCTTGAACACTGCCAGGGGTAAGACATCCACTACTTGTCTGGGCAACCTGTTGCAGTGCCTCATCATCCTCACAGTAAATATTTTTTTCTGATATCTAATCTTAAACCTACTCTCTGCAAGTTTGGAGCCATTCCCCCTTGTCCTTACATGCTCTTGTAAATAGTCTCTCTCCATCTTTCTTGTAGGATCCCTTCAGGTATTGGAAGGCTCCCATTAGGTCACCCTGAAACCTTCTCTTCTCCCAGCTGCTCCAGCATTCCTTGTTAGCAAATGCTCTCATGCACCCCGACATGGAGCCAGGATGCCAGATCTGAAACATTTTAAATGAAGGCATGGTATTTGCAACACATGGCCCTTTTTGGCATCCTGGATTACGTCTGTGCATTTTCTCTGACTCTAAAGTAAAGGGTGATCTGTGATGGTGCGTTGTGATCTGTCCCCCTCTCTGTGCTGTCACCACTCCGTTTGGACATGAAGCTGAAGGGATGTATGTGCCTATTAACAGGCAGGCAGAAGCCAGGCTGCACTTTGCACATATGGGACCCATTAGCTTTTAAATCTCCCCCAGAGATTGTCCATATTTATCATGTCCACAAAAGAAAACCCGTGTGCTTGGACATATTGAGTGAAATTGAGACTATCAAATATGTTTACACAACGGTGGAAGACAAGCAATTGAGAAAAATGTTTAGATAAACGTTTATTGCTCTGACAACTATCACCAATGTTTTTGTACAGAAACCTAGTTTTTATCAATATGATTAATATTTTCGCTTGACATTTTAACCAAGGGGTTAAGCAGAGGGCATTTATTTTGTATGGCATTTAAACAAGATTCTGAGCAATGCTGGAGGATGGATGACCAGAAGGTAAAGTAGTGTTGCCCAGTATAACCCTTAAAATAACTCAAACTCCAGAGTTCGTAGTCTGAGGCACAGTGGCTCACTAACCTCCAGTAAATATCTTGTGGGACTGCAACATGTGTCTTGCAACTACAGAGCAACACCAAGAGAGATCTGTGTCCTAGTTTCAGCTGGGATGGAGATAGTTTTCTTCCTAGTAGCTGACACAATGCTGGGTTTTGAATTTAGGATGAGAATAAATTGATAACACACTGATCTTTTGGTTGTTGCTAAGTAGCGCTTACCTTACATCAAGGGCTTTTCAGTCTCCCATGGTCTGCCAGTGAACAGATGTACAAAAAGCTGGGATAAATGAGCCAAACTGATCAAAGGGACATTCTATAAACTTGAGAATTTGGCCATGAGCTTCTGATGGCCACATGTGGATGGCTGGGCATCAGTCAGTGGGGAGTGGGAAGCTGTGTTGTCTCATCATTTGTCTTTCTTGGGTTTTATTCTTCTCTTTCTTTCCTTTTCCTTACTATTATAATAGCTATTAAACTGTTCTTATCTCAACTCATGAGATTTTTTTTTTCCTGATTCTCCTCCTCATCCTGTGGGGTCCGTGAGGGGGAAATAAGTGAGTGGCTGTGTGGTACTTAGTTGCTGACAGGGGTTAAACCACAACAATCTGCTGAACACTTTTACTAATTCTGCCTTCCTCTTGGCATGTCTGAAAGGACCAGAGTGGAAACTGGCACCAGGTAACACCTGCACCCAAACACGGGCACATTTCAGTTTTGTTTTCTCATTTAATAAATAATAGTTGCAGAGAGTATATAACTGTGACACTTAGAATTCTCTTTGCACCAATCTTGTGTTTCTCTTCCATGACAAGTATCACATGGAAAATCCTAGGGTATGGATAACCCTTTGAAGCCCAAGCTTTAATTTACACATTGCTTCTAAGGTACTGATGAATGCTCTTCTTTGCTGCAGCCTCTTGGTGGCAACAGCATAAGGCAACATTTCTGAAAATGTACCAAAGGCTACATCTTCCTATGTTTTGTGGTGGGTAAGGCTCCTCACTGGCAGGTCTGGAAGAGGAGGCAATATTAAAATTCTAGCTCCTTGTGCTTTACCACAATGACATATTCTTTTAGTTTTCCCAAACTTCCTTCTATCAAACATACAAGCTCTAAGGTTTGCAAGAAAGGAGATCTTGGGGAAAAAAAAAAAAAAGAAAAGATTATTGTATCCTCATTAATTCTGAAGGCTTGTTAATTATGGTGTTGATGTTAATGTTTGGATGATCGAAGAAACTCAGATTTTCTGTTTAGTTACTAGGTGCTCTAGTAACTACTGCTCCCACCTTCACATCACTGACACCAGTGCCTGTCTTTGACTGTACATACACTATTCCAAAGGAGTTCTTCTGAGTGTGGTTGAGGGAACTCCAAATCCTCAGCCACACATCCCGGGCAGCTGTGTCAGACAAGGACCAGTGTCCAAGTCAGAAAAAGCAATCATTTTGCTTACTGAAGCACAAGCTCTCAGCCCATGTAGGAGAGTATCACCAGTGTTAAATACACACACAACCATGCTGACAGAGGGTGTATTCAGGCACATAAGTACACTCATTAATATTTCGGGACTGGATTGTTAGTCACAGTGACCTCTGTCTGAGAGATTGAAGAGCCATCTAAGATGCTGCAGCAATTACTGAACCTCATGTACATTACAAAGCAGCACCTACCTTCGCCCCTTTAATGATGGAGGTAACTACACCTAAAACTACAACAACATGCCCTGTCAAGCTACAAGAACCTGAGATTTGTTCCACCCTTACCAAAATATTCCAGTTGCCAGAACTGACCAGTTCCCCCTGCCATCCCCCGCAGCAATTGCCACCACAAGCCGAATGTGCTGCGTGGGCAGGGCTGGGATGTGTAAGAGCAGAGCTGATAAGAATCTTTTATTTGATGAGTGGTCTTCATCTGAGAAATAATTTTACAGCACAGTATGAGATTAAATCTGTTACCAGTTAACTCGTTTCCTGCGCCATTTTGCTTGTGGTTGTACAGACACATTCAAGACTTTTTTCCTGAACCTTTGAAGAAAAGTGCATTCGTGGAAAGTGGCAACTTTTGGACTTGAACTCCTTCCAGTGTTCACCAGCCTATTTCAGTTGTGACATTTACACTTAGTTGAAACAGTAAATTACTATTGATCAGGAAGCATTACCAGCTTTGCCAAAGTGGAATGAACACTCTGGCAGTAAGTTTTTACCTCTGCATTCCAAGGGTGTTACATACAGACATATAAATTGACTGCAAACTCTAAAAAGAAGCTTAACAGAAAATATAAGCTGTATTTTTACTTTAAATTTCTTTTCTAGAAAGACACTAAGATCATAATTTGGTTAGGATTTAGCAGCTAAGACATTTTTATTGGCATGTCTCTAGTGACTTAGAATTTATTTTCATGTTATTTGATTAAACTGCATGCAAGGAATACTTAGTGCTTAGTGAAGACAAAATAATATTTAAAACTTACGGTCTTTTTTCTCGGCTTTCTAGCATAATTTATGTTTTTAAAGCAGAAAAATCCTGAAATACAATTTGCTTTTGATTGCACTGACTTCTACATGTGTATGAGGACACCCAAGTAAAGCTCACTAGTTTCAACTTGGTATCCTGCCAAATTGGCACAATTTCTAATTAACATATTGCACATGGAAAACCAAGCATCCATAACACCTTCTGTAGTTTTATAATCATCAGAGAAATTACTTAAAGCTATTGGCAATTAAGTTATTTGAAATTACTTTAATAGCCTTTTCCCCAACAGCTCTCCTATTTGTAGAAACATGGATTTGTCACAGTCACAGTGAATTAAAAAAAAAAATCTTTCCCCAGGACCAGGCTTGAATTTTCCTCCTGAGGGCAATGGGAGTGTTTTGGTGTGTACCATTGTCCAGCTAGGAGTGAGCAGCAAAAGGAGCCCCATGTTTAAGTGGCTGGGCTCACCAGTCAGTAAGGAAATCAGCTGTGATACTCTAAATAGCAATTTACCTTCAAGTGGCTGAGATTTGGTTGGCCTCTTTCTCTTGATGCGTTGCGTCATTACTGACTTCAGTATGTCCCTGCCAGACACTAAAGATGTGGGTTTGGCTCCCCATCTTTTAATTATCTCCCACATGGCTAAATTTGGATTGTGTCATACCCACATACGATCTGCAGCGTGCTGAAAGCTCCTGGTTATTCACACCACTTCTCAATAGCAAAGTCAACTGCATCAAACCCTTTCAAGGTGAAGATTTTACATAGCAGAAACACAGTGCTACAGTTCAAAAACTTGCCAGGATTCTTCATTACTCTGCGTTTGTATCATGCTTTATGGACACTGATTATTTCTGGCCAGACAGAACTGTAATGGTCACAGCTATGTGTCACCACTCAAGACATTCTACCTAATAATTCCTATTCCAAGCTCAGGTTGAAAAATACTCATGTCTTTCAAAAAAAGCACCTGATCTTGATTTAAAGATGGCAAATGGTAAAAAAACCTGTCCCCTTCCCTTTGCAAGTTGTTCCAGTTCACAGTGACCCATATAGTTTTAAAATGTACCTTGTGAGCAGAACTTTTCTCTCTCAGTTCTAGACCCCTACACCTGGTCTAGACTCTTTATTTAACAGACAGTGGAAAAAAAGAGGTATTGCCAAAGCACAGTTCATCTGACCTATTTTAGATAGCTAGATAATGGCCTAGATAAGGCACTTCTTTTTCTCCCATTGACTGAAAGAAGGTCTAGTTTAGGTGTATCTGCCAGAGGTATATTTACCAAACATACGTTATTGCTATACCTGAATGCCAAGATATACAGCCTCAAGTATATTTTTGCACTGTATAAGTCTACAGCTGGAGAGTCCCCCTCTTACCTCTGCCTGGACTCTAATTCTGACACGATTTTAACCAAAGAAAATAATTTTGTTTCAGACCACAACCAGCTAATGTCCTCATGCTCTCTCTCCAATGAGCTAAATCAAAGGAATTCCTAAACCTCCAGTATAGTTCAGATTTTCAAGCCTTGAAGTCACTCTGGAAGTGTTTTATGAAGCCCTCCCCAGTTTTTCAGCATTTTGGGGGATGATGACTGATATGTGATGGCACTTTGCAAGCCTGATCCCAGTGTATTTGGGTACAGAGATGCTGGCAGAAGGCACCTTGCTGTGGTGCTGTGCCTGAGCTAATTAGTCAGGTGACTCAGCCACTTAGTTCAGAAAAATTGTCATGCTGGTGTGACCATAATCATTCACAAGTGACACCATTATCTCTGCACTGCCTTGCGTTGCACAGCTCAGACACAAGTGGATTTAGAAAAATGTTGTTCTGATTCGGATATCACCAAGAAGCAGGGCAGAAATAAATTTAGCTTAATACAGCAAATGATGAATAAAAGAGAAATTACAATAGGGAAACAAAATACTGGACCCTTAATAAACCGCATAGTGGGTAATTTTCCAGTCTGGAGTGTTCCTTAAATATCAAGTGAAGGAGAACACCTTACTAGCTGTAGTTCAAATATTACCTGTAGTCATGTTACTTGGAATACATTTTATGTAGGCAAAATTTTAAATAGCTAAATCTGGAAACACATCAATATCAATTGATCAACCTGGTACAGTGGAAGGTATTTCTACCCATGGCAGGGGGGTTGAAACGAGATGATCTTTGAGGTCCTTTCCAACCCGAACCGTTCCATGATTCTACGACTCTATGATCAATAAAACTGCAATTACATGATCTGTGTTTATGCAGCAGCTGGTATTTCAGCCTTGTACAATAATTACTTATTTGCCTTAAGCAAAATGAATCACGTTCACAATTCAGGTTCACCAGAATGCCAAGGTAAAAGTGTTCAGCTTCGATGGGTGTGTTTTATGTGTATATTTATGGCTCTTAGCATCAGAGGGAGCAAATTCACACCCTGATAAACTTGATGATTAGGGAATTTGCAGCTCTCCAAACCCGCGCATGCCACTAGCAGATGAAATTACACAGAGGGTTGCAGCTGCTGCTTAATTAGCAGGATGATAAATCTCAGGGAAATGTTTGCCCTCTGTATGACAAAACAGCAGAGGCATGAGGTGGCTGGGGGGGAAAGTCAATCCATTCTGTTAGTGCTTAAATCCTCGCTGTCTTCCCAAACTCCCCTAATGCTTCAATCCCAACGCCTGCCTTGCAGCCTTAGAGACTGCACTGGAGAGATGATGGGGAAAACGGGAAACACTGCAGAATGCTTGAAACAGCTTATTTTGAGCAGAATTGGACTAACAAGATACTTTTTTTCCCTTTAAATTGACACACCTTTCCTTTACAGACCTATTTTATTGTGCAAGTAAGAGAGAGAAATGAGTGCTCCAGACCTCCTACCCAAACTAGCTCAAACTCTAAGAGCTTAG